GATCTTGTTCTTTACTTTCAGTCCTAACAGGGCAGGAGTAACCAGTCTTACGTCCCAGGACCCACATGCCCTTTTTTGTACACCATGGGATCTCGTTTAACTAATGGCTGAAAATCAGTGGTATGGTTTCCTTTCATTTTTGAGATGTGAAACACAAAACTAGTTTGTAAGCCTGAAAATTATAGTTTTTGAAACAGAATCCTCCCCCACTCCTTGAAATCCAGAAAAAAAGCTCGACCAATCTTGGCCTCATGCATAGCTGGGTCTCAACCTCTCCTGAAAAACCATGCTAGTGGATTAACCTGTCAACTTATCCAGTTTATTTCTGTTTACTCCTGTTTATTTATTTTATTTTTTAAAATATGATTTTTATTAAAGACATTTTAGAAGAATAAAAACAATACAAATGTTGAAAGGGAAAAGGAAAGGAAAGTAATAAGTAAGTGAAAAAGAAAGTGCAAAGAAAGAAACAGAGAAGAGAAAGAAAGAAAGGAAAGAGTCATAAAGAAGCAGCTTCCAGTCTTCTTAACAGCAGTTACAATCACTTTTATATTTTACCCTCTCCTGCATTCTCTTTCTCATATGACACAATTCTTACTCTCTTATTACTCCTTCCAAATTATGTTGAAAGTTGTTGCTAGTTTCACTTCCTGCCTTAGGCCATTCTCCAGGTTTCAAGAGAGCTTCCTGCAGAATCAGAATTTGTACATACTTTGCCTCTAGATTAGTCAGTTCTGAAGGCTAAGTAGTTGGTTCTGCCAGTTAGGGCACTGGAGCACATCATACCTCCGTTAAGGGGAAAACAGACAGTGCCTTGAGTTAGGACTTCAAAGATTATATTCTCTGGATAAGGTACAAGCTCCCACTTCATAGTTTTAGCACATTGTGTAGTTTTGTCATTCACTATCAGTGATGTCAGGGACATTCTCAGAGGTGACACCAAATTAAACATCACACCGCACTTCGAATGAAAATGGCTCAGTTACATTTTTCCAGTGACAACAAAGGAGTGTTGAAAAAATGCAATATTCCCAAACAGGAGCCCTTGGAAGAAGGACATGGAAATTTCTTGCAGTCAAAGGAGCAAGAGCACAGGTTTATTGTGGTATTAATGTGACATTGACTCTGGAATGCCTTGTTCAAAGCTTTCCTTTAAATCTGTTTTCCTTGTCAGTGGAAAGTGCATGTGATTCTGAACAAGAAATAGATGCAGCTTTCCTAAAACAGTTCTGAAACAGTCACAGTGGAAGAAAAAAGAGCAAAAATCCTCATGTATTTTCATACCGTAGTAAATCCCCATAGTAAAGGTATGACTAATTTTCTTGATTTCTTTTGCCTCTATTTCAGTTGTTTGGGATTGAAAATTGACATTTTATTTCATAACCCATAGCAGAGCAATACCTTTATAATGTACACATTTTGAGATGGGGGGGGATCTCAAGATCTCTTAATTAGGGAAGATAGTAAATAAAGAGGAAAGTGGCTGATGTTTAAACCACAAATCTGCATTTAATTACAAGTGTGAGGGAATATGGAAATAAGCAGATATGCAGATTAGATTATATCTGGTGCTGAGACGGTTTCAGGTTATACCAATATGAAGCAGCAAAAAAATTAATGCTCATTTAAAAACGATGCAGTTTTTGTAAATAAAAAATGCAGGTGTAAAGGTAGACAAAACTCTACTTTTGCTCTTAATTTCATGGGCAGCTGCCTTGAGGGGAAAAAAGGCTGCATCTGTGAAAATATATCATTCTAAAACTAGTTCATTCTCTCTTACAAAAATAAATGTCTTTCATCAATTTGCTTTTGTTTTTTCTAATATTGGTGCAGTTAAAACTTGGAACACTCTAAAACAGAACCAGAGAAATGGGACTGCTCTTTACATTAGATTATACTGTGATGCAAATGAGTTTAAAGGAATTGAGCAGAGTTAGACATTTGAAATGGGGGAACTGCTATCTTGCTGGTTTTCATCAGCTCAACAAAGTTTATTTTCTGGCTTCACACATATGTGCACATACATGAATATATTTCTTTATTTAAGTATCACAGTCAGCCTGAATTGGTTTTAAGGCTGATTTTGGTAAAGGCAATAAAGAAAAAAATACTGTACAGTGTGCAGCACTACTGCGGATAGTGTAGGGCTACCATGGGCTACAAAAACCTGAATAGCTGCTAGAGGGCAGAGTTCTCTTTACTGCCATTACTGATTATATTTCTGCTACCAAGATTGGGGTCCAGGTAGTCCTTGCCTAACAATAGTAATTGGGACCAAAATTTCCATCGCTAAATAGTGTGGTCATAAAGTGAGACATCACGTGACCACATCACTTAGTGACAGCAATCCTGGCAGTCCCTGTTGCCGTTGTTAAGTGAGGATTGCAGGTTGTTAAATGAGGGCCTCCTCACAACTTCCCGACGGCTTCCAACAACCAAAGTCAGTGGGGAAGCTGGCAGGAAGTTGCAAGTCCCAGGTGGCTCACAAGCAGGCCAGGGGCAGGTAAGTGGCTGCTGCCAAGTAAGGGAGAGTGCGCAGGTGGCCACAGCAGCACCACATGAGTGATTTTGGGCCGGGGGGTAGCTGCTGCCGGGCAGGGGAGGGTGTGCAGGCGGCTGCAGTGGCATGCATGAGTGATTTTGGGCTCAGGGGTTGTGGGGTTAGGCAGGGTGGGCAGGCAGCCAGTGAATGCGCCAGTGCCGGCGGTGGCTGCTGCCAGGCCAAAGAGACTTACCAGAGCGACTTGGGACCTTCCATGCTGGCTTCCCCATTGACTTTGCTTGTGGGAAGCCAGCAGGGAAGGTCGCAAATGGCAATCCCATGACTCTGGGATGCTGCAACCATCACAAGTGTGAGCTGATTGCCAAGTGCCCAGATTGCAATCATGTGACCACGAGGGTGCTGGGACGGCCAAAACTTTGAGGACTGGTCATAACTATCACTTGTTTGTAGCCGTCGCAACTTCGAAGAGTCACTGAATAAATGGTCGCTAAGCAAGGACTATCTGTAATGTGCTACTTTTCTTGCAGTAACAATACCATGGGTGCAATGGGTTGTTTTTCCTTATACAGAGGTAGCTGACAACAAGCTACATGTGTGTTTATGCATACCATGTGACCAGGATTGGTTTTAATAGGGTTTGTTAAACTAGCATATTCACTTTGCAGAGAAATGAAGTAGCCATGCCTCATTTAACTAATTCCTAGTTAACCTTTCCTCCAGCTTTAGCTTCTTTCTCCTGGGAATGGTAGATTGGCAAGAGACTTGGATGAAGTACACATGCAAACCATAGAGAAGCCAGAGCTCCCACGTCAGATGTTAGTAATAACTACACATAGTTAAAACTAAACCCTTAAAACATCATTTCAAATGGTGTTGAGCTTCAAAAAGCTAAAAATAAACCAAGGTTTATTGCTCAGGGTAAGTTCAAACAAATTCACAATAGGTCAAATATATCCTGCCTCAGCATTATGTCCAAACCAGGGTTGTACATATTTTTGAAATCCTGTGGCTCAAAGGCCAGACTCAACAGTGTCTAACTCACCTTTAATTTTCAGGCATAGAAGTGGCAAAGAAGTGCTCATAGACAGGACAGTCCTCCAGTGGGAGACCTACTTTTGAGGTTGTCAACAGCTACACTAGGAGTACTAGGCAGAAGCAGTCTAGTAGGGCACCCATCAAGGATATGAGCCACCATCACTGACAACCTCACATCATTTTCACCTGCATCTAAAGGGTGTTCCCTTCATAGGCAAAAGTATTCCCTCTGCACATGCTCAAAGGGAAGAGATCTCGGTGTCTAGATCTGCAAAAAAAAAGATTCTCTGCCTTTCTATCAGTACTGACTTCCAAGACAATTTAGAAAACAGTTTGACACCTAAACAAATGAAGATGACAAACACAGTCAAAATAGTGAGGAAGTAAGTTTGCAGGATTATCAAGAGCAGGTAGAACAGCACAGAAATGAGTTCTTCATACCAAAGAAAGAGGCCCCTTCCACAAATCAACTTGGCAGCTATCACAAAGAGATCATTTTCATTTGTGGGAAAACCACAAATGAGATCTTTGGGAAAGAAGGGCGATTGCCCTTGTTCCACATCGAAACAGCATCTCCAACACCACCCTTTGAAGTCAGTCTGCTCGTGAATCCCATGGGAATGTAGCCATCTTCATGCTCAGGGATACTCTTTGGATCCGGCAATATTTAACTTAGCAGATAATGTTCTTTATTTTAATTTAAAATTGTATATGCCATCCTTAAAATTTTCAGTTTCCCCAAGGTGATCTAAAACATACCAAAACTATGGTTTTTAATGTTATGCTGGGGAAAAAAAAACCCTAACAATTAGGACTTCCAGACTGGTGTTATGACACTTATGATCCCAAGTTCTCCACCAGCTGAAGGGGTTATATTCTCATCTTTTGACGACTTTATTACTTAATTGCTATTACTTTTCTTTAAGCTGTTGCTCTGTGGTGATAAATTTATAAGGTCCAAAGTCAAGTAGACAAAGAAAGCACAATCATCCCAATCTTCTCTCTCTCTGATGGGTAACTTCTCAGAATTGAAGCTGCTGAAAAACAGCAAAAATCTGAATTCATTCCTGACCCCAAGCAAACCTAATAACAGAAAGAAATGTAAGTGGAGATGCTGTTACTTTATAAGTGCCTGCTCAGGATTTGCAGTATTTTAGGATGAATTTTTGTAGAAGACAACTGCAGGCAATGGGGTGAAGCAATTATTTGGACTCAAATAAGAGATTTGATTCTATGGATTGGAAAATAGCAGAGTTAAAAATTTTAATTATTAATTCACATTAAAAATTGTTCAAAATTGTTGAAAATTCTGATCAACAACTTGCTACAGATATTGAAACAGAGTTACAAGTAAATAAAAATGTTCAAGACTTGACTTGTGTATAAGGTCTGCTTCCTTGAAATACTGTAAATTTATTATTTTTAAACATTCCTTGGGTTTTTGCCCATCCTACCCTAAGAATTAGGGAGCAACTGCTGAGGGTCCCCACCTACCAGAAGGCACAAAGGGAGGGGGCCTGACAGTGAGCATTCTTTGTAGAAGGCCCCCTTCTTTGGAAAATTTTGGTCCCTGAAGCAAAGATGACCTCTACTCTCACGACCTGCTGGAAACAAGTGAAAACATGACTCTTCTGGAAGGCCTTCAGGGATTAGCCTCAGAGTGTATTACTCTTGGTATTAAGTTAAATTGAAGATTTAGATTTAGATTTACTATTTTAATTATTATATAGATTTTGTATTGTGTTTCATATGTAAGTTCTGTAAGCTGCCTTGAGTCCGTTCAATTCCAGGTGGTAGACAAATTCCATAAATAAATGTAGACTACAGAAGACGTTACTGTACTGTCAACTATGCAATCTGGTTTTATAAAAGGATGATAATATGACATTAACTGACATTTTAGTTAAACATTCAGAAAAATCAGAATCAGCAATAGTTGCTATTGATATTATTATAATATAAAACAGTGTTTCTCAACCTCAGCATTCTGGGAGTAGACGTCCATCCATCTTCAAGTTGCTGAGGTTGAGAAACACTGATGCAAACAATGTTATTGTTGGAGGCATAGAAAGCCTTTCGGAGCAAACTTTTGCTAAATACAGATTTCCTTTTTTAATTAAGTGGATTACAATATATTATTATAATACATTGTAATATAATAACACTTTGTAACCAGCAGCATTGCAAGTGGAATTATTGCTTCATTTATTTACATGCTTTGTGGAACTTGTCAAGGATATCCTTTATCTCCTCTCATATTTGGCATTGGAACCACTGGCCTATATTATCACACCAATTCTGTATATAAAAATGGTGGATGCGATTATATACAAATTGTGATTATATGTTGATGATATATTACATCTTCTTGACCAGTATAGATGTTCTGTACCAAAACTCATTGACAAACAGTCTGATAAATTATCAGGTTTTTCAGTTAACTGGAGTAAGTCTCTTATATTTCCCATCAGCCCTAATATGAAGATGTGAATAGCTTGTTCTTCTTGGTATATAACTTCTTCTAAATATCTTGAAACAAATATTCCAAGAAGATTTCTTCTTTTGTAAATATAAATATCTGCAATGGCTTATCTCAAATTGATATTAACAGATGTTAACATGCCAGTGACTTATAGGGAAAGATAAACGTGAAAATAATTATTATGTCAAGATCGATCTCTGTACTTACGGGAATTCCTATGTTAATACCTTTAAGATACCTCAAACAGATTGAGAAATCAAGAAAGTGCTTTAGGGGAGGGACAAAACCCCAGTTCTTTTTTATTTAAATAATAGCTTTCATACAAAGATGAATCTTTCGATTTTCCCAATTACTGGCTTTATCACTGGACATACATTTCGACTTCCATTTCGGTATAGAATGCAAGTAATCAAGAGTTACTTGAAAGATACTGGAGTGGAAATAAAATTATTCTCATGATCAATTTATAGTCTGGGCCAATCCCAAATAGAATTTTATTTTTTTTTATTTTGGAATTCATAGGCTAATAGGGTGTTTGATATTTTGAATCGGTATATTGCCACTCATATTTTTAAATCATTTGACATACTGCAAGAGGAAATAGGCTTTCTAAAACTCTGGAATAGCAACTGTTGGAGAAATACCCTGAGAAAGCCCCCCCTTTCTTCCTTCTTTGCAACCGGGTGGTGAGGTTCAGCTCCATTCCTCTATGCAAGCAAGACACGGATTAAAAGTCTCCAAAAACTTTATAAAGAGTCTGCAGACTCTTAGCAGTCCCCACATTCTAAAGGGACACATTTAGTTTTTGACAGCTGCAAAACAGGCAGGGCATCAAGGTGGGCAGATTTCCTCAACAGTGTTATGTCATGTAAATTCCCCTGTGAATTCTCCCGATTGCATGGCTATTAATAGCAAATTGGCCTGCCAGGAAGTAAAAAAAAGGCTGTTCTCATCCTTCCGAATATATCCAAATCAAAGTCCTCATTCCCACCCCCCACTTAGGTCCTTGTCTTGGGTATTTCCTTTGGTTTCCTAGCAACCACCTCCAGGATTCCTCTCCCGCCCCTCTATGGTTCCCCCTGCATCATGTGAACTTCGGTGAGGATATGACATCATCACTGGGTTCCCTCTATCATTCTGTAGGCATTACCGATTTGCAAGCCACAGGATTGTTACAGTGTAACTGTCTAGTGTTTTGCAACTGCTCTACTTCTGCCTTGGGAAAAGAGAAAAAAAAGCGTGAGGATTTTTTTTGCACAATCCATTTTCTAGGATACAGAGACGCTCCCGAGATGGAAGGGAAGCATTTAGAAGGGACGGAGGAAAGGGAGGAATCCAGAGACAAAGGTAAGAATAGAGAACAAATCTAACAAGGAGCCTGAAGCCGTAGGAAACAGAAAGAAGCTGCTGTTTTGTTTTATATGGGGCTACAGATTAAAACTTCTGAAAATAACGGATCCGGTTTAATAGCTCTGTTCTGTCAGGCAAGGCAAAAACACTGAGCCAGTTGGTGCCATTTATTAGAATCCAAGTTATGGAACTGCAAGATTTTTTAGTTATGCGGGACTCTTCTTCAGACTGGTTTTGTGCAGCTTGAAAACTTGAAGTCTTGAAAAAGCCAGGAAAGTGAAAATCAGAATAATATTCAGCTCTGTGGATCTGTGAGAATTAGGTTTTAAGCTCTGTAATTGTCAGGAAGGGATATTGGGGAATTGTGAAATGAGAAAATGAGACAGTGGAGGTGGATGGGATATTTTAAAATAGGAATGTTTTAAACAAAGATGACAGGCAGCACATTAATTTAATTTTTTTTCTCTCCATGTGGGATTAGAATTCTTTGTTTCTATCTGTACCACAGCAGAGGAGCAATTGGCTGGTTAGAGAAGCTCAGTACAGGGAAACATTTAAGTACATTCTGCTTCTTTTGCCCAAGGCTTTAGTATGCCAGGAATTGCAAATGTATAGCAGTTGTTTGGAACTTGCAAATGGTTTTTCTGTTTCCTCCTTTGAAATCTATCCCTGCTTTGCTTCACTGCTAAAATGGTCCAGGGCTGGGAATAGTTATTAGTGTCTGCTTGCTTAATTGCTATACTGAAGGCATTTTTTCAGGCCTTATGAACTAAATTCTTCAGCCTGAATGCTCATCTTGCAGATCCATCCTCTGCTTCACTTTCAACTGACACCATCAATACCTCAAGAGCAAGTGGCAGCTGCCTTCAGCCACAGATGTGTTAGATTTCGAAGCTCATGATTGCATGATGCACTGAGCCACAAAAGGGCCATCACATGTCAGCCTGGCATGCAATGCAATGGTTCGTTCTGTTGTGCAGACCCAGAAAATTAGATTGGCTAAACCATGGTTAAGGTAACTGTGGGTTTGTTGCAAAGTAATGCCACAGACTGCCTGCCAGCCAATTACTGTAGAAAAATCTGTCATGCTGGGATGCAACTTCTGTAATTCTACTTTCTGTTATTTGGATTCATGTTCCCAATGAAGGATTCCTAGTTACAGGATTCCCTTGTATGACATTCTGCAGCCTTGCGCTTTCTACAATTTAAAAGCAAGATATGGATGTGTCTGATAGAAAGATTATGGGAGCTAAAACAGCCATAATCCCCAGTCATCTGAGCCACTGGTCATGCTGGCTGGCATTATGGAAAGTGCAATCTATCGTATAGCTTTGAGAAGGCTGTTCTAGCATTCCTTACTCCTTAAATCGATAGGCCTCAGGTTGCCCCCCCCCCCAAATATGCCCAACATTTAGGAAAATTATGTCACATCATTATTTGGGATTTTAGCCACTGAAAGCTGTGAGTGGAAGGTTACGTGCTTTGCGTAGAAAGCTCCCTGGGTGTCTAGGGAGCTATCACTAAAACTAGACACCTATTTTGGACAGATTATTTTCCACTCAAATAATGGCTCCAGTCATGAGAAAGTGATGTCTGTATACTCTTTTTCTACTTTCTGCCTGCAGGAGCTGGGGCTGGAAGTCAGGATGAGAGAGAAGACCTCAAGAATGAAGTACCAGAAAGAAGGCTAAAGATGCAGGACCTAGAAGCCACTCTGAGCCTGCAACAGAGAAGATTAGTGCCAGGGAGCAAGGAGAGGGAAGGAAGACAAAGGGGGATTCATAATAGAGGTGGGGAAAAACAAGCAGAGCTGCAGGTCCCAAATAGCTACCCAAGAGCTGAGAACTGCCAAGACCAAACCAAGGTGGAAGAACAGAGGTGGAGGAACCCGGTGAGAAGACGCCGGACAAAGGAGGCTTCCCAGGATCCTCCAGGTTTTATCAACCTTTTGGGTATCCTGGAACCGCCACCTCCTCTTCCACCCTCTGCCCCCCACAAGCCAGTGAACAAGCCTTTCCATTGTATGGAATGCGGAAAGAGCTTCTCACAGAGCTCTGTGCTCATTGAACACCAGAGAATCCATACTGGGGAGAGGCCCTTTGTCTGCAACGTTTGCGGAAAACGCTTCTCCCAAAGCTCCACCCTGATGGGCCACCAGAGGATCCACACGGGTGAGAAGCCTTTTGCCTGCCCTGAATGTGGACGGGGATTCAGCCGCAGCTCCGCTCTGACAGAACATCAGCGCACCCACACAGGAGAGACCCCCTTCCCCTGCCGGGAGTGCGGAAAGGCCTTCAGCCGCACCTCCAACCTGGTGAAGCATTTGCGCACCCACTCGGGTGAGAAACCATACACCTGCGCGCTCTGCGGGAAGCGCTTCTCCCTCAGTTCCAACCTCCTTAAGCACGAGCGCACCCACTCGGGAGAGAAGCCCTTCCCCTGCCCCCTCTGCGGGAAACGCTTCAAGAAGAAGACTCACCTTGTGTCTCACAATCGCGTCCATACTGGAGAACGGCCCTACCGATGTGAGGAGTGCGGGAAGTGCTTCTCCCAAAGCTCATCTCTGATTGAGCACCAGAGGATCCACACTGGGGAGAAGCCCTACAAGTGTCCCCAGTGTGGCCGAGGCTTCTATGTCAACTCCAAACTAGTCAAACATCAGAGAATCCATACGGGTGAGAAACCATATGCCTGCTCGGCCTGTGGGAAAACTTTCCGATACAAGCAACAGTTTCCCCGTCACCTGGCCCATGTGCATCCTGGGGAAGACCAAGTTTCTGTGCTTACCTTGGGTACCAGTGTTAATGTGCTATTCTCCTAGGGTGTACCCCAGTGCCTGGTGGCTGTCCCACGGGACTAGTTCCAGTCAGAGGCAGAATTGTTGTCAAATATGGTTGATCCCTAGAAGAGCATCTTTTGCTGAATGATTAAGCCAGTTTCCGAGATGGCTTAAACAAGTATTTCTACCTTAGTGACAGTCACATTTGGGTGGCCTACTTCATGATGCCACCTTTATCCTCATTTAGAGGAGCTACTTCCCCAAATTGTAGAATTTTCTTTTATGCAGTATGTCCCTGACAGAGGCCATGCCACTTCAGAGGGCTGTCATTGTAGTGAGTTTACAATAGTGCCAAGATCTACCAACCTGACATCTTGTTATATTAACTAACACAATATAAGGATTCTATTCTGTTATTGGATCAAGATTATTTTATGTGGTATATGAAACCCAAAGCTAATCACTTTGTTTAACTTTGCTTTTTGTTACCGTATAGCTCATGACACAGGATTTTAGTTTTCCATCTGCTCTGAGAAAAAGCAAAAGGATTTTCTAAGGACCTTATTTTTTGGTTCATATAGCCAGGATTTATTTTCTGGAGATTCTTTTTTCTGAATCTGAAGTAAAGGTAAAATTGTACTTTCAAGTTTTTTAATTGAGCTAATTACAGTATTATCTAGAAAACACGTCATTAACCTTCAAAGACATTTCTTTTCATTAATGTTGAGATTATTCAGATGGTGTGTTTATGATAACTACAGGAAAACCACAAAATGTCTCTAACTTAAAACTCCATACTGATGCTTCCACCAGTTTTTATTCAAGGTAATTCCTTTCACAGTCAGATTGTAAAATTCTGTCTGAGAACAGACATTTTGACTACTGATGGGATTTTAGAATAATTGTAAAAACTTCTAAATGGCCTCTTATCATTGTGGAGTCTACTATGGTAGACCAATCTTCTAGAGGTGTAATTGTTCAGTACTTTATAGGATTGCTCACTTTTTCTGCTGACAACTCATACCAGATCCATTTCAAGCTCTGTGCTCCATTCAGTACAAAACCAGAACAGTCATGTGCAGGAGGAACCACCATTAGTGGTGAGCACATGACATCTCACGGACTCATCTCAAGAAGTGAGCAATAGGCAAGATAGTGGCCTCCAAAAGTCACACATGAGCTTCTCATTAATTTAGTCGTCAGATCATTGAGGACTTTGTCTTTTTTTAGTAAATGTCCTTGAATTAGCTTCAGAACTTAATTCACAAGAGCTAGAATGAAAACAAAGTGAAAACAAATGCTATTCTATAGTTAAATAATTAAGAATCCTACCTAACACACATACCTGTAACTTAGTCATTTCCACAGAAACTAGTGTTTCAAGCAGTGAGACTGGACTTCCCATATCAGGTAATACGTTTGAAATAGGGTGTGATCTAGTCCTAGTATTGTGTGATAACACTGGAATAGACAAGTTTTTAACTTGATTGCTTCATTGTGGCAGTTGTGTATTTGGACAGGGGAGTCATACAGTGGTGAAGTCACTCTCATTTCTGAAACAAAACCAGCTGGAGGAACAATCACAAGGAAGTATGAACTGAAGGTTTCCACTTTATTGTGGCAGAAAGAATAGTAGCAGAACAAAAGCCCTGGAAGTGCTAGTGTTCTTGAGATAGGATCGCAAGAACATCCTGGCATGTTCAGTCTTGCACCCACTTCTGTCCCCAAATGTTTTGCTAGCCCAAGTACCTGTGCTCCAGTCCCTACAATAATTTCTACCTATTGTCCCAGTGCTGTGTTATGTCTCCATTTTTCTCTCAGACATTGCAAGGAATCACTTTGTCTACTGACTTTCCAATCAGTTGCTGAAATAATTTACCCATAGACATAATGCACAAGCCTATCGAATTTCACTTCCAGATAATTAAGAGGGTGCACACACATATACACCACATAAAATCTTATATTAGTTACATAGTGGGTCTGTTTATACTGGAGTAACTATAAATTTATCAACTCACTTTCTCACGCTAAAGTTATGGTGACAAAGAAATAGACATCTTTGGCTTGATTTCAAGGCCAATTCCTACTGCATTCCACTGATTCATGAATTATGTCACTTATTGCACAATTCTGAGATGTCATTCATCTGATTTTTCTATGTCAATTCATCCTCCCCCAATTTTTAAGTAAATGTTATTGCCAGCAGGGTTGAAACGGTAAGTACAGGTAGTCCTCAACTTACGACCACAACTGAGACCAGAACTTCTGTTGCTAAGCAATGCGGTCATTAAGTAAGTCGTACCCAATTTTATGATCTTTCTGCCATGGTTGTTAAGCGAATCACCATAATTATTAAGCGAATCACATGGTCATTGAGCAAATCCAGCTTCCCCCATTGACTATGCTTGTTGGAAGCCCCCTGGGAAGATTGCAAATGGCAATCATGTGACCCTGGGATGCTACAACCATTGTAAATGCATGCTGGTTGCCAGACACCCGAATTTTGATCATGTGGCCCTGGGGACACTGCAACAGTCGTAAGTGCAAGGACCCGTCTAAGTCACCTTTTTCAGTGCTGTCATAACTTCAAACTGTCTTTAAACAAATGGTCATAAATCAAGGACTACCTGTGCGTGTAACCCAGTTATCCAAAAACTGTAATACTAAGGAAGTATAAGACAAAAAATTTTCAACAACAAACTTGAGGAACTTTGTTAAATTTAAAATGTTTACTTGCCATAATAGCATTTGACCTAAAACTCACAAAATAGGACATCAAAAAAATTGCCTCAAATCAAGGATTATGTTTAACAACAAGGATTCCAGCCTTGTTTTCATTTCTGCTGGCTCTTTTCATAGGGAGCAATAGAATCGTCCCTGTCCTATGTATGTTAAGTAAGTTCCTTAGTGTTATTCTTGAATAAAAAGTGAGTAAAAGGCTGTGTATAGAATATTTGCCCTAGTGCATTTTATTAATTTTGTACTGATGGTGTTTCAGATTTATTGTAATCATTTGCTTTCATCAATGTTTCTCAATAATGACTCATTAAAAATGTAATTTCATACAACCTCCAGCTTTGTCTGCAGTGTATCAAGTTTATAAGATAAAAAGTTATTCTTCCTCTTCCCTTTCATCAGATAAAACGGTGTGATGGAAAAATAATAAAATAAGGCTGCAAACTCTCCCCCATCTTCCCCTTGCTTCTCTTTCTGCCCCCTCCCCCTTGTGTCTCCTCTTTCCTCCATTTCCCTCTGCCATTTCCTACCCCCCCACACACATTTGCACATGTAAAACAGGACCAGTCCCAGGCTGTTGCATGACCCCATGTTTCTGCTGCCAAAATAGCCCTCTGAAAACTATCACGCTAAAACAATGAGTTTTATCTATCACATTAAAACAACATGCTGGCTGGGGAATTCTGGGAATTGAAGTCCACACATCTTCAAGTTGCCAAGGCTGAGAAACCGTGGCTTAAAGATTTGTCTAGGGGCAGCTTCAGTGAGGATTCCTTTGTTGACAAGGTGAGAAACCGCTGGAATTCCATCTATCTAGTACTAAAACTCTTGTCTCTGTAACCTTCAACTGGGTGAAATGGTGCACCACAGGGCAACAATTTTTGAACCAAGGTAACTCAAATGGGTTAATTTACAGAATACGTCTAAAATCTGGGACCCATTACTCGCATGGGATTGAAATTTGGGAAATTTGTGGCTGCTTCAGCATTGCTGTGCTGCTGTGCCACCTTAGTCAGCCCAGGTCACATGATCATGATGGGCATATTCCCGACCTTTTCCCCACCTCCCTCCATCCCCTGCGCCCAATCAGCTGGCAGCAAGGAAACAAGGCAGAAATTTGAAATTTCTTAACAGTTGTGGGCATTGAGGGAAGGATGAGGGAAGGACTGGAATGCCTTCTGCCAAGGTAGGGCTGCCTGGGGGGGTGCAGGTAGTTGATGGGTGAGCCCTCCTTCGCCCTCAAGGGGGCCCTTGGAGACATACCAGAATGGGGAGTGGGGGTGCAGTTTTCCTCATGGTCCATGGCTTCCTTTGTTCCACCTCCCCCCAGCAAAGTGGCAGGCAGTTCCGCAGGTCAGTTGAAGAAGAGGAGGAGGCTTCATGGGGGCTCTCCTAAGGATTGTGAGGGGAAAGCAAATGGTGCAAGCTTATATTATATGTGGAAAGGAAAGGAGGGAGGGAGATTTCTGACATCTCCCTCTCCTGACAAAGTCAATGGGGAAGCCAGTTGCAAGTTGCTCACACTGCTTTTTTGCCCTTGGTCATTCTGTTTCTCTGTTTAGGTAAGGAAATATCTCTGAAGTGATGACCCAACAGATCACAGGTTGTCTAGTTATTAAACTCGTGCACCTGCTTTTCTTAATCTGTTCTCCTTGGTAATGGATTCCTTGACTTGGGTGCCTTTTACAAAAGCATGGTTTTTGTATCATGATAGAAAAACAGTTTCCCTGTTTAACACTTATCCAAAACTTGCCTGTGAATCAGATCTCTCAGATTTCCTGCCTCTTAACCCCAAAGTGTATAAGAATCTCTGCCTTTCTATTGTTTGGGGTCCCTCTTTCTTGGAAAGCAGGCACCCAACAATTGTTGAATTAAGTTTGGGGTTTTTCTCCTCAGTGTTGTGCTCCTTTCCTCGGCAAAAATTCCATGACAACAGTTTACAAAAAAAGTGTCAATGAAAAACACTGCACTAGATAATCAATACATTGCATTTTTTAATAGCACCTCTGATGTAGTATTATTTATGTAATTTACATCCCATCTTTCTGTAAGAAGCCCCACAGCAGAAATTCTCAAAAGACGCATGAGAAATTATTTTTAAAATTAAGTCCTTTGGAACTCCAAATATTCATATTCAGAGGATCTTGGATGATGTGGCTCTACATGAGTTATCATGAGCTCTACCTCCTTCTAATCAACCTTTGCATGAACATAGATCATGTACATCTTGGCATGTGATGTAATTTGATCATTCAGTCACTTCATTTTAATTATCTGAAATACTTGCAACAACTTTTCTAGTGCAAATTAAATCACTCAAGGAAAGTATTACAATGTTAAAACATAGAAAGCATATAATTACTTCTAGCCCATCAAGTTTTTGAAGAGGCCTAGCATACCGACCCACCTGAACAAACAGTTGTCCATTGCATATGCATTAATTGCTCTTCCAGACAGCTTCAGAGCAGGTAACCTGCCTCAAGTCAGATATAACTGGTGCAATGGTGCCAAATGCAGAGGCATAAACGAGTCATTGCTTTATATGTGACTCCATCCATATAGCATGCTTTTAGGAATACATTAGTAACTTGAGGTAAGCTCTACTGAACGCAGCATGCTGCCTGGGAAAATTCTGGGAACTGAAGTCCACACATCTTTTTTTTTTTTAATAAAATTTTTTATTCTTTACAACAAACACAAAACATACATAAACA